TGTGTGTGTGTGTGTGAGAATGTGGAGACACTGTGATGGATCGTTGGAGCTCTGTGCAGCTCAAGGCATATATGCCTGTGTGTATGAGCTGTGTTGCGCGCACTATCCGTGCGGAGTGTGCTGACTTTTCGTACAATGTCCCACTGTCTGGCTACCTGCATAAAGTCAAGTGCTCGGCGCAGTTGTCAGCGAAATGTCGCTCCTCTGTTTTCATTGAAACAGCTCCTTATATCCGTTAGCGCAGCTAGCTCGCACCAGATGCTAACAACAACACGTAAGGTGTGCTTCGCTCGCGCCACACATACACACACCCTCCCGGTCCTCCCGATGGCCAGTCCGGGCCTGCGTGGAAGTGTGGTCTGCCACAAGCGGGCGGCAGGAGCGGGGCTGTCAGCATCAGCTTGTAGATGGTATTTTAAACTCGATGCGCTCTGAAACTACAGGGCGGCCGAGGACAAAAAATACACATGCGTTAATCGTTAATTTTTGCTTTAACGCGTTATTAACGCGTTAACTTGACAGCCCTAATATATTATGGTCACATGTCTAGTTGGAATTCTGATAGGGGAGATTGGGGTAAGATGAGCCAGTAGGTAAGCGGACCCACCCCATTTATCTAGGGAACTGTGTTGTTCTATTTGGCTGTGATGAAGGGAAGCACAAAGTAAATGTTCAATGCAACGCAAATGTATTGAGGGTTAAACGTATGATACAATGGAGAGAGCAGCCACTGATGGCAAGGGTGGAAAATCCATCAGAGCAGTGGCAAAGGACAGACATATGGACAGGTCAACCCTGTGTAGATACATAAAAGGAACATGGAAAAGGAAGTGAAAAAAGTAGGGTACAGTTGAACAGCAGAGGCAAAGAGGATCTTCACGCAGGAGAGAGAAGGAACTTGCAGATCAAAAAACTGTCTGACCAGTTCCATGGCCTTACTCGGAAGAAATGCTGTGAACTGGCTTTTGAATTAGCAGACAGAAACAACATTCCTGTAGCAACCAACTCAGGTTTGAACTTGAAAGAGTCAATTATTGAATAAACCCCTAGATGGCTCAATTTACCCCTTATACTGTATGGGGCAAGTTAAGCGACAAGACCACTTTAATTTAAGAAGTCATATTTTCATGGCCCTTTGTGATAGATGCATCATTTTGATTGACAGAATACATCCTGAAATAAAGGTTGTTGTTGTCATTTGACTTCTATCTAATTGTTCCTTGCCAAGAGGACAACATAAGTAGAAATGGTCTCATCTTGCCCCACTCTCCCCTACATTTCCTCAATTGATGTCAATTGAGTCAGTGTTGGTTAGGCTAAAGACTTTAGACCTCTGTGGCTTGCTTCTTTCCTCAGCTTGAAATATGTTGCTTGAGGCTACATTAGCCGCCACTATAGCATAACACCCAAATCCCCCCACCAACTGTCGGTGGTTGAGAGGCATTGTGACTGATTTAGTAACCATGTTTTGATAAAGAATGCATGAAATGAAAAAGAAGATATCTTTGGTTCTGCTGTAACGATTTTGTAAAAAATGTCAGCTGATTTAGCAATGCCCTCCTATGACATAGTCGGTGTACACTGACTATGTCATACAGTAGGAGGGCATTGCTAAATCGGTGCATTACCTATTAGGCTTAACCTGAACATGCTACAAGTCTTGAGAAGAACAGTGTAATGGAAGTGCAGGTCTTTTAGAGTTCCATTCTAACAATGACCAAAACCCAAGAAGGAAATAGGAGAGCACAGAACACCACCAAGGCCAAAATCTTATCTCACAATGTTAAACATTTTTTTATAAAGTTTTGATGCTAGCTCAATTCTTAATTAAATCAAATAATGGCTCAGAACGGCATACAATTGTTCTCTAAAGAGACAGGAAACCTCCAATCACAGTGAGTTGGATGGGGATTGTTTACGGCCAGCACAGGAAGGTCTCTGAGCCGCTGACACGCTGCCAGCCTGCAGCTCTCAGGTCTGTATCACATTAGAGGTGTTAGCGAAGCAGCGTGCGGATAAAGCAGACTGTAGCGAGAAACAAGGAGACTCTGTCCCCTGACATATGGCCTCTCACATGCCCCTGTTGTCAGTGCTAATGTCCTTTTTAAAACTACACAATGAGCTTTTTCTCTTTGCCTGGATCAATCCCATTGTTTGTTTTCACTGGTACAGACTATGTGTACCACAAAGGCCCAGATTATTTAAAAAGCTAAATCACCATTCTGCTATGAACTTGTTTTAGACGTATCTTTGTCAGTTACATTTCAAGAGAAAGTGGCTATCTGTATCTGCTGACAGAAAAGCACTCTTAAAGTGCCCATAGGATAACATTTGTAAGACAAACTATACTAAGGCTTCATTTGGTGTCTTTCTTGTTGTGTGTAGCAGCATTCAATAGCAGAGTGTACTGCATGAACTTCATTAAGCCCGAGGATTGCACTTTGGTCTTACATAAAGCCTCTGTTATATCTAAGAGTCACTGATCAAGTTACTGTGCTGTTATGTAACTGTGCTGCTGTTACAGCCTGTGTGTGTACAGTTCACTGTCTGGTTCTGTCACTTGCTGCAACATTGGGCTGCTGCTGCAATAACTCATGCTGAAGAGACTTCTGACTTTGGTATCTTTCTGTAAAAAATATGTCAAATAGTTACTGTAAGTTGTTAAGGCTTAAACTACGGTGGATGTTAACGCAATCAGTGTGGTATGCATGCATTGAATCCTCCAACAGAGAGGAACTTGCTTGACAAGAGCATTTTTGGTATCTGTACACATTTTACGAAAAATGCCAGGATTGTCAGATTCAGATTGTGAAAAGTTGAGTTGACAAACATCTAAACACAATTGTTTTATCTAAAAATGCGAGAGATTGTCAGTTTATATGAAAGTACTTTGTAACACAACTTGTTTCACTATTGCATTCCTATACTCAAACAAAATGTAATTCTGTTTAACCACACGCTCAGCGTTGCTAACCAGGCTATTAATGGCCTCTCTACAATATAATTTATGTTATCATGTGACAGGTTTCTATTTTATTTTTTTTATTTCCAAATAAACTTTGCAAGCTGACATTGTGGAGCTTTTTATGCAATGCTGTCTAGTACTGTACCACCTCCTATTAAGTCAACTTTTTAGGTCAACAAGTGTTCCTCCTCCTTTACAAACCTTGTATAAAGTCAAAGTCAATTGCCATTACATTTTTCTAAAATAATAAAATGGAGTCATAGTTGGTTTCTAGCTCTCGAAAAAGCTATTAATTCAGCAATTTAAAAATATAAAGTAAGTAATTATTAAGTGTTTTTTACAGTAATCCTTCAACTCTGCAGTTGTACATGTATAGACAGGACTACTTTAATTGAAGTATTTATATCTAATCTATGAAGTAAAGGATGTATGACATCATTAATTACAAATGTACAACCCATTTGTAAAGGGGGGGGGGGTGAAAAGTCTTCAAACATTTAAATACAATCACAAATTGGTCACTTATCATCACAACACATATTAAGTCACTTAAAGCAACACACAGACACGACAAATAGATCAACATCTTGCAGTATTTCTATATTTCTTATTTACCATTTCACATAAACATTGTGCATTTTTATATTTGCATATTTCTCTGAATGTGAATGTGTCTGTGATGTTCCTATTCTGGACCCCGCCTACCTAAGACCTGATTGGCCACTTTGCCGGTGGTATCGCTGCTCATTGGCTTAAACCACTGCCACTAAATGTCTCACCACTGTTTGGGCGGCGAGGCACAAAAAGAAATCATGTTTTTTGTTGAGCGGCACAGCGGGGAGTAGCCTGTCATTGACCGGCGGAGCTGCTTGCTTGCAGGGGTCTTTTCGGTTTGTTCTGGCTTCTGCTGGTGCTTATGGATATTTCTAGCTTAAAGACGAGGCAGTAAGCCAGTATTTTTAACAGAATGGTATTAAGGAAAAGACTAAAACGGTGCCTTTGTAGTCGTAGTATTGATGCTGCCGATGCCTTGTAGCTGTAGAGAAAGTTAGCTAATGAGTAGCATAACGTTAGCCACAAGCTAATGCTAGGCCTTCCGTTTCCTTTGGCTTGTCAAGACAGTTTATTGTTTTATTCTTCCCTTTTTGGAGCGGGGCTTTGTAGGTCTTTTGTTTGCTGATTTTGTTTATTTGCTTCCTCTGGTGAATAAGGCATTGAAATGAAGAGAGTGAACAGCTTTCAGAGGTTTGTAAATCAAAATATCTCACTGTTAAAATAATGTTTTGGGCTGTCAAGCTAGGATTACTAATAATATTTGCCTTTAATAATGCCAGGTGTGGTTGGTTAACGTTGCCTCATTCATCCTGACCGTTAGCAGTCTAAACATGCTTTCCTTTCAGGTTAACATGGTGGTTAAAGTTCCTGTATAGCTGTGTCATAATGGGGACAATGTCATTTAAAATGAATGCAATTTTAATAATGATTCACTTTCAACTCATTTTGATTTCTGTGTTAATCACTGACATTGGGTATATTTTGGTGTTGGATCAGTACAGACAGTACACTTTAATAAACATTTAAATGTGAATGGCAATTGTTATGTATTGTTATTAAATTGCACAATAATCAGTATTTTGTGAAATGGCCATACATTTAATAAAGTCGTCAACACAAGAGTAGTCTTAGCCATAGTTATACATATATTATTAGTTAAGTCATTACATCTCAAGCAGGTTAAAATCCGACAATAAGGATGTCATGGTCAGTCACTTAGAAAAGGTACAACATATAACTATCCGTGTATGGTTTCTATATTAATATTACAGCCATTTTATTTATTTTCATTCCTATCTCCCTTCTTGAGAGCTCGTGTTTCTCATTTTTGTGAAGAATGTGACTGCGCTTACGCCTAATAAGTCAACCCAGCATTTTCCTTTATACTACTGAGCACTGTTTTAAAGGTATCCTCCCATTTGATGCTTGATAAAACTACCACTGTTGTTTATTTGTTGTTGTGTTTATTTGTGTGTTTCAGGTTCATGAACAGACGGGCCTCTGCTAACTGCCGCTACCAGCCCACCTGCTATGAGCATGCTGCAAACTGCTACACCCATGCAGTGAGTGGATGGGACTAATCTTTTATTTTCTAGGGAAGAGGATGATAATGACTTCATCTCAAATAAAAATGATCGCTCTAAAAATATCACAGTAGCCTTCAAATCCCATGTGCAAAGAAAAACATAGTTTGTCCCTATTGCCATCAAATATCTCAATCAGTAAGGACAGCAACTTTTGATGCCATGCAAACATTGTATTTTATACCTATTTATTTACCTTGATTCATCCTCATTATTCTAGTGCTTCTTTTAATGTAGTTTCCATTCAAGGATTCAAGGCTTTTATTCTCATTTGTACATAGCTACAACTCTTAGGTCACAGGCTCCTCAAATGGATCAAATAGTGCAACTAAATACAAATAAAATAGAATAGAAATAGTGCAAGAATAATTGATATACAAGTAATTGGAATATTAGATATTAGATAAATAATTAGTAAGTTGCGAACAGATGAATGTTATGGATGTTGTTTCAACAGTTCAGGTGTTTAACAGTCTTATGGCCTGTGGGATGAAACTGTCCCTGAGTCTGGTATTGTGTTTTTATGTATGTATATTATTGAAATTTCATTTCGTCTCCGTAGCTCCTCATCGTGCCGGCCTTCGTGGGCATGGCATTTCTGCACCGTCTGTCGGACAACGGCTGGGAGAAGGTCACTGCCTGGGTGTACGGCATGGGCCTGTGCGCCCTCTTCCTGGTCTCCACTGTGTTTCACATCATCACCTGGAAGAAGAGCCACATGAGGTGAGAAGGAGCATGATGACAACCCACCATAATGGCAAAGAACCAAGACACGTAGCAGAACACACTGTCGTAAAAGACACGTCACAAAATGCAAGAGGACAAAGAAAAAAGAGCGAGGGACACAGTCAGTTCTTTCCTTATCTCTTTACGTTCCTTGTCACCATGCTGGGGTTTTTCCAGTGCTGGCATGTTGGTGTCAAGTTTCATTTGCAACCTTTTGCACACTGCGTTCAAGTCATACTTTTGTTTCCTTATTTTGATCTTATGTGCTACAGAAACCCTGGGGGTTAGTTTCTGTTCAAGAAATTATTTAATCTATTTCCACTGGTTATATGTTTATTTTTTACTGTAGTTTCAGAAGTGTTAGACCACAGACACGTTATTACCAATACCAGTAACATAACAGTACTTTTCAGCACCTTCCCTGAAGAGATTCAAACATGGTTTTCTATAAATCCCTTTTTTTATTTGCACAAGAAAAGAGCAATGTTGCCAAATGGAGTCCAAACCCAAGCAGAGACACACATTCAATGAAACTATTTTGAAAATTGGTAATGTTTTGTTTCCATTAGGAACTATTTGTTCAAAGAAAAGTGCCAACAGTGTTAATAATGATTGCCCAGCCGGACTCAACAACACCTGTGCTTTTCTTACAAGTCTTAATTTAGATTTCCCTTTGGATGGAAACATGATATCACTTCCTGTGACAAGAGTTTTCCCTCTTAGAGCATGCAAACGATATGTCTGCTTAGCATATCTGTGACCTTGAAATAAACAAATCACCTGTTTATTGTTTGTTTCAGGTCAATGGAACAGTGTTTCCACATGTGTGACAGAGTGGTCATCTATCTGTTCATCGCTGCCTCCTACACACCCTGGTGAGTGTCACACAGAGGACAGTTACACTGATACCCCATTCACACCAACGGTGTTTCAGGGCCGGTTCGGAGCTGGAGCTTGAAAAGCACCGGGTTTTCCTGTTCACACCGCAGCGGAGCCGCCTCTAAGCTCCGGAATCCGGTTCGTTTCGAGCACCAAAAAGTTGTCCGTCTAGAAGCAAGAACCGCATACGTCACGCTTACGTCGGAGGGGGGCGAGATTAACCTGAGCTAACAGTTAAGGCGAGTACGGCAAATAAAAGTTGTAACAAGCAGTAGTGCTGAGCAAAGTGACTAGAACGCAACCACACACTTGTAAAAAAAAAAACACGCTTTATAAAGTCAGGCAACACTAACCAGGCTTCGTGTGATTCTGTTTATTTGTACCTTACTTTGACCATCCGTTCGCTGTTATTGATCATTGTGGAGAGCAGGCAGACGTTTTGTTTGTTATTATAGCAGCTATCGGATGGAATCAATACATGGGCTGCACAGGTTGTCATGTCCGACTATCACAAATAGAATCATAATGAAAAATACGCCGGTAAAAAGTGCCTGTAGAAAACGGCTTAGCAAGTAGTCAGTTTAGCTTCGGTTGCTATGCTAACATCACCCATGTTATACCAGAGAAACTTTCATAACAGCGTTGTGATGCCAAACAGCGTCAATTCAGACTGACACCAAACAGCGTCAATTCAGACTGACACCAAACAGCGTCAATTCAGACTGACACACATTCACTTAAGGGGAACTGGGGATATGTATCAACTGCTTGTGTGACAGTCAGACAGTGAATACTTTAGAGCCGTGTGAGCTAACCCGGAGCTAACGGGAGAATAAACTCCCGTGGAAGAGCAGCCAGCACTGCAGCGGTCGGTAAATGCCGCTGAAACACATTAATAAACAATGAACCACGGCACTCTGGAGAAAAGTATACGGTTGGAGAAGTCGTTATTTAATTTAATCTGGCTTCGTATGATTAAAAGCAACACGATCATCGACCCGACGCAGTCCCCCCCCCCCGTTGTTGTTGTGAGGTGAGCTCCGTTGGGGAGAAACTCAGCGACGTAAACTGTGACGTCATGACGCAGCAGCGGCAGCACCAGTCGGGCTCTGAGCGGTGTGAAAAGAGCTGGCGCTAAACCGAAGAACCGGTTCTGAACCAGAAAAGCTCTAGCACGGAGCTAGAAGGGGAAAAGCCTTGGTGTGAAAGGGGTATCGGAGGGCCTGCATGAAGATGAAGGCCTGTTATAGATCTTATTTCTCCTCTCTCCTCAGGTTGAACCTTCGTGAATTGGGCCCTCTCGCAGCACACATGCGATGGTTTGTGTGGCTCATGGCTGCTGCTGGAACCATATACGTCTTCAACTACCATGAAAAGTGAGTTTGATGTGATGATGTGAATTTAAAAGTCGGAACTACCACTGAACATAGGCAAGGCAAGTTTATTTATATAGCACCTTTCAACACAAGGCAATTCAAAGTGCTTTACAAAAATGAAAGACATTAAGAGCATTAAGAAACATATTATAAAATGGCATTTAAAAACACAAATTTAAAAGCAAAGATAATAAAACATGAATAACAAAGGTACATGAATTAAAGGTAGGGTAGGTAATTTTGGAGAAACCGGCTCGAGATCGCTAGAATTTGAAAATACACAGCCGGAAAAAATCTGCCACTTCCTTACAGAGCCCCTCCTCCAACACACACGAACGCGCACATGACCAATGAGGGCACGAGATAAGTTTGTGCACAGATGGAAGGCTGACAGGCAGGCAGGCCATCCAGTTATTTTAGCCGGGCCGGCTAAAATGATTGGTCGTGCTTTTTTACAGTATTACAGCTTCCACAGATGACATTTTTTTATGGATTTTTTGTCAAAGCACTTAAGATATTCATTGCTATCGGGATGTTAAGAGCATTCCATGGAATATAACAAAAAGTGTATCTCGAGCCGGTTTCTCAAACTTACCTACCCCACTTTTAAAGTGACAGTGCAGTGTGAGATACACACATCTGAAATGTTTAGGTCCGACTCTCAATCATTGCTAACTTTTTAGCAGAAATAGTTTTCTATGACCTCACTTTCTTTCTACTTTCTTTTTTAACTTATCCTTTAGTTATTTCAAGTGTTTCATGCTAAACGAACCCCCCTAGACGACCTTGTAACTCATATGCAGACTAGGTGTTACATTTCCCATCAGACAATCCAACAAAGGCTTTTTTACTATATATTTTCTTACGACAGGTTGGGCAGTTCACCTCAGTGCTTCAAAATGTCTCATCTTGGTCACAAAATGTAGTGTTAACGTGTTTCATGCCCTGAGCGTAGCCCCATGCAGGAAGCTGTCAAAACAAAGATTTAGCAGCCAATCCGACATTATACCTGGCTCTGGCTAAGCCGTTAGCAGCAGATATGTTTGAGGCTTGTACGAAGATTTGTTGCGGTCTATTTGTCTTGCCCCATCCACCGAGTCAGTGAAATGTTGTTCGTCTCCACAGGTATAAAGTTGTTGAGCTGGCCTTCTACTTGATGATGGGTTTCTTCCCTGCATCAGTTGTGACATCGATGGTAATATCACTATTCATAAATACATGTACAGTCCCATTCCGTTCATTTCCATGTGCTGAATCGTTCTATACCACTTCAACACGGTTTTTTATTTCATTAGTATGGTGAATAAACACATTGTTATCCATATCAGATAGTGATGTAAGCATGCATAAGCTTTCTTTTGCAGCACATTGTGGCAATAAATGTGTAGGAACAAAACATTTGTAATATTGGTTCTATGGGGTTTTTGCAGGATTTGTAATGCATGATAACATTTGTCAACATATCAACTCTTTACTGCTGCCCTCCTGTGGTTTCCATGGATATAGCAGCCTGAAATAGCACTAATACTACTATTGTTCCAATGTTAACACACATTATGTAATTTAATCTTTATTTACTTCTTGGAAATAAAACATTCCACATGTTCACTAATGGTGAGATTACATCAGTCAACAAAAAAGGATGTATACAGATAACAAAACCAGGGGTAATACAACATTCAAACATCACATGCTGTGTTGTGTTGCATGTGAGAAATAAGATATTTAAATTATACTAAATTTTAAAAAAAACAGAAAACTTTTAGGAATAGATTTCTTACTTTTTACTTTTCTTTCATTTCGTTTTTCTTGTCAGAATTTGTTTTCTTTGTTGGAAGGTACACTTTTCGAGTCAACACAAAAAAAAAGTAAAAAAAACAACACACTCTATATCCCCAGTCGGAATCAGCTGATTGTGAACACAGCTGGATAGTTGTTGTTGTTGCCTAATATTTCTCCTGTATCTCCCCGTGTCCTTGCCTCCTGCAGAGCAACACGGAGGGCATGCAGGAGCTGGCGTGCGGCGGCCTCATCTATGTCCTCGGCGTGTTCTTCTTCAAGAGCGACGGCGTCATCCCCTTCGCCCACGCCATCTGGCACGTGTTCGTGGCGCTGGCTGCGGCCGTACACTACTACGCCATCTGGAAATACCTCTACAAGACCCCCGGCGCGGACCCCCACCTCCAGTCGTGACCACAGCCGGGGCTGGACGCCGCTTCTCCACCTTTTGCTTCTGAAGAAAGCGCCTGCACACTCCTCTACTGCCCACTGAAGCTGCCACCACAGCCCTGAAGTTTACGAAAAAATGACCATGAATTGTTTACTGTTTTCTAACGTGGAGAACAGATTTCTGACAAAGAAAAAGCTACATTCAAAGCTTTTTTGTAAAACTTCAACGGAAAACAGGGCAGCCAGGGGTGAATTTTGACTTTTTACAATGAGTGTTTGATTTGATAGCAGACTTTTGTATCGCTTGAGTCACATTCCACATTGGGGTCATTTGTGATGTCATAACTGGGAGATTTATCATAATTTCAGCGGATTATTTGAACAATAGGAGTATCCAGTGAGGTGCTAAAAATTAGGCAGGGCTGGGAGAACTAATATCACATGGATTCCTTTTTTTCATACTTTGTTTTTGAGGGGTATAATGCGGTTCTCTTTTTTTTCAATAAAAAAAAGAATCCAAAGATCGCAAATATGATCAAAACACGCAACTGTATTATACATTTGCCCCAGGGAAATAGTTTTTGGGCAAGATTAGTTTAAAACAAGGAACTCTCGGTACAAAAGGGCATAAATCTGACCACACATGATGCCAACCTTTCATACTCTACCAACAAATGTATTGAGGTGTTACCCAGCCCTTGTTATTAGTTAACACAGGAAGAAACAACTCTTGACAGGATTGTTTTATCCATTTTCTATATTTTCTTTTTACCGTTATCCACATGACCAACTTCTGTGACCAATGTGTTTCTTTTTTTCTGACCAGTATCCTAATGCAGTTTTCAGGGATTCACAGTTTGTAAGTGTTTAGCACCCCTGCTGGTGATGAACAGCGTTACAGGGTGTGTAAAGTAAGGCACACAGGGGAGGTGGGACTTTGTTAAATGAGCCAAATGATGAGAGAAAATCAGTTCAGGTAATATGATGAGAATTTTTCCACTTTCTTATTAATGTGAACAGTGTGCGGTAGAGTGTGCATGCACGCCCTTTGTACTGTAGTCCAGTATTACATTTCCACTGATTCTCTCTCTCAGTGTTTTGATTTTGCACCACTAGTACGAACAGTGTTTCCTGTCTGTATTCTGAAGCGGGTTTGATAAGTAGAGAAACCTCATGTTTATTTTACTCATGCTGTTGGTTTTGTAAATGTTGGCTCCCGACTCCTAAGATTACCTTTCCTCTTAGTCAGCAAAATGATTTCTCATGTTGAAAATATTTCCTTAACCACTCTTGTTTTGTAATGTTTGTATATTCTGTTTTTATTTTTTCCGTTGATTATATGATCCTGGCCTTCGACAGGGGGGAAAAAGCTGCTTGTCTGTTCCATTGGCTGTTAATGGTGCTGCATATCCACGAGTGATCCTCCTCTGTCCTGAATATCACCTCTAATGTGACAATAAAAATGATAATGCCCCAGGGTAAAGATCTTCATAATGGCTTTCTTTGAAATGTAGCTTGCATTAACTGTGTTGTTTACAGGATCTGACCACGTTCATTTCCTGCAGGGTCAAAAAAGGAACAAGAACATTCCTCTTGTTACAGAATCTTAAAAGCAACCTATATGTGTGACATAAAGAGGCTTTTGTCCAAGGGCTGATGAGTATACAGTAAGAGCTCAGTAAAGCACTTTTTTTAATCTAACTTGGAATATTAAAGGGGCGCTATTAGTTTTTTTTGTGTATTCCCTTTCCTTTACTGTGTTATATAGGTTTTTGTGCATGTCAATGGTCTGCAAAGGCTACAATCCCAAAGTGTGTGGGAAAGAAATGACTGAACCGCCTCCATTGGGCTCCACTCCCACCTCGAGCTTCTATTGGCTAGCGCTCAAACACATTGTACATGATGGGCTAAGGGCTGGGACATCTTTAAGCAGTTGACCAATCACAACAGAGCCGGCCAGCTAACCAATCAGAGCAGACTGGGCTCTTGTTTCAGACAGAGGGTGAAAAGAGGTGCTATGCAAAAATAAATTAAAGCATTTAAACATGTCACAGTAGAGGCCCAAAATACAATGTGACCCAGAAAATGAGCATAATACTGTAGGTCCCCTTTTAATTCCATTTCTCTTCAAAAACCCATATTCATATAAAATAACTTTAGTAACTGTCTAAAATAAATCAGAACATATCTTAAAGTGGACCTATCATGCTATATTTAAATGATATATTGTAGGGCCATACCTATATAAGGTATATTTATACGTTTCTGTTTTCAAAATACCAAACAGATCATGCATTTTAGCCATGCCTCATTTCGCTCTATGTGCTGTTTGCTGTCTAAGGGTCTGATTCTGCTGACCACGCCCCCCTGCAGGAGAGGGGAGACGTGCTCTGATCAGCTGCTGGGCTGTCAGAAGAGGGGGAGAAAAAGAGATCTCCGTCCTCCGTGTTTTATTATATAGAGTCGTTATTCATTTGTTTTAAAGCTCAATAAATAACAAAGAAGACCTTTGACCGGCACTTTTCTAATTTTGTCCGGAAGATTTAAACTTTAGCGGACATCTTGACCGGCGAAACAAACTGAAACTGAAACTCTGCCGCACGGTCCCCTCGTTCCTTGGAAGAGGCAGAGAGGTGGGTGTTTGTCATCTGCTGGTGGACTAACCGGAGAGAATTACAGTGCTTGCCTCGACGGGGAGGGATTGCATTGCAGCGGGAGCAAACGCTTGCCTCGGGGAGGGAGAAAAAAAGCCACAGCGGAGAATAAACAGAAGGGTAACCATGGTAACTATGGGCGGGAAGTCTTCTTCGCTGCTTTTGTGGCAGACTACAGCGCCACTTACAGGCCTGGCATATGTACTACAGCGTCTCCAGCGCTTTCGAACGGCAATGGCTGTCTCCTCCTGATTGGTGGAGTTGGCCCAATAGCTGTAGCGCCACTGTCCTGACGTCAGGACAGTGTTCAAATCTGGATCAGTTTTTATCAGATCCGTTGCAGCCCCTTTTTTAGAGATTTGGGTATGGAGGAAAATAGAGAGGGTTGTGTTTTCTGACACTTGGTGGACACACCGGGGACACATATTCATGTATAAAAGACGTACAAAAGTGCATTTTGCATGATAGGTCCCCTTTAACTATTTAAATATTGAAACATTCAAAATTGAATGACAAAGCCTTTTATGCCAATATTCAGTAGGCAATGTTTGATACTTAATAATGGCACATTTCAGTTGATACATGCTCTAAAATCTTTACATTCAGCCAAGATTATTACCCAGATTTAGATTCAAATTTCAAACTATACTTTTTAAATATGCCTATGAGGAATATTTATCTGGGTAAGGATAATTGGTTATGCTCCTCTTGGGGCTCAACCTTTTTCCTTTGGACTCTTTGAATTACCTTAGCTTTATCAGGGGGATCTGTGGTTTGATAGCTAACATAAGGGGCTAAAAGCTGACAATTATCAGGGTTAGCATCTGGGCTGGCAGCCTGGGAAGGACGTCTGGTAATCGGCCAGATAGCTGGGTGGTTTTTGGGAATGAGTGAGCCATCTCTTTGGTGGTCCTCTGTCCGTTGAATCTTGATCTGCTCCGGCTCAAAGGACCAAAACAAATATTTATCTGTGTAAAGATAATTGGTTCAAGGATAAGAGATCAAAAGGCACTTTCACACCAAGTACTTTGCCGTACTTAGTTCCCAGTAGTTAATCGGAACTCTTTAGTTCCGCGTTCACACCGGAATAAGTCCCTGAGGGAGGATTAGGCAAATGAAGCCGCTGACGTCACTTCTTCGGCCGTGGGTGTTTCTCAGGGGCTGCATCTCAGGTCGGTTATTTTCATTTCCACGCTTGTCGGTCCTCGGTGTCACCAGAAGTTGATTTGTCTGCGCCATCTTGTGTAGCGTCCCATGACGCTTATTTCTGCCGGAGGACCGAGGATCGAGGAGCGATAATGGAGGAGCGATAATGGAGGAACCACCAGACCATCCTCCGATGAAATCCTCAGATACTCTCCCCGCCCCCTTACTGTGTATCGCTCACTGATTGGACGATGCAGCGCATGCACTGATCTGTTGCTTCTTGACATGAGAGAAGTTTCCCAGCGGAGTGAAGAAAATACATGAAACTCACGAGAGTCACTCCTCAGTTTATACTGTGTTTTGTTTCAATTAATGCATCATTCAGTTACAAATATGTGATATATCTGAACAACAAAGTGGTCAAAAATCATTTTATTCATTTATTGGAAACATTTTTCCCCCCCCACTCTATAAGGAGGGGGGGGGGGCTTATAATGGCCCCTTGTCTACATTTGCTAAAACCACGCCCATGTGTGAACTTGATGTCAATAACACATCTGTACGATTTCATGATTGTTACTTGCACACACTTGCAACGCTATTGTGATGACTAAATCTGTTCACAGACAGGGAGCCTGGGAAGGTGCTTAGCCCAGCCCTGAGGCTTTTTAAAACGGCAAGAATTTCGTTTTTGCTGCTCTGGTAGGTGTTGGTAACTAATTGATGTCCATGAATCTACATGCTCTTTCCAGGAAATAAACTCTCATGTTTTGGAGGATAAGACACTGTTGAATAACCAGAGGAACTGGGTTCATTAGAGAGAGCCATATTGGCTGAGCAGACAAATAAAACATGGAAACACCTTTAATAGACAGGTGGGAAACCACAAACACGTAAGACGCTCTCATATCCTGTCATGGGATCAATAAAGTGACCTCAAAAGCAAAGATGGAAGATTAACTTTAATGATCCCATACAGGGAAACTAAGAGCTGAAAAAGGTATGCCTGAAACGCAAAGTAAAGAAAAGAGATTTAAAAAAAAAAGCATTACAATTAAATCAAAATACAGTGACAAAATAGTTGCGTGTTCCAGAAATACCACAGCAATAATCAAGGTCTGGCTAACTGGTTATTGGCACTAGGGCAAACATTTTCTAATTGACAAAGTAGCAACCTCCGGGGCAGAGCAGTGGATCCCATGAGGAAGTGCCAAAAACTGCAGTTCTTATAAAGCTAGCTTTATAGACCTCTGAAAAAACATGTCTACAGCCTGGTATAAAATAGTGGTTAGTCTCTCTTTAGCTAATATCCTTAATCATAAGGTGTTATGAATTGTAGCAGGGATGCACTTTTATTTAACTTACACATTTTTGTTGTAATGAGGCTTACAATATACACAATATGTTGAATTTACACACTATACATGTTGTTTTACTTCTGTTTGCAGTTGGTTAAAGTTACTATCTTCTTCAATACTTTTAAATGTTCACTTTTTAGAATAAGCTACTTACCATTGTGTACTTGATTTTACTTATTTGTTTGTGTTCTTACTAACGTGTGCCTAACTTTTAATTGAATATGTATGTCTAGTCTTTTTGTCTTTTATCTGCAACTTGCTGCTGTGACGTTGTAAATGTCCCCGCTGTGGGACGAATAAAGGCTTTCTGATTCTGATTTCTGATAAGGTTACACGTTTTTTGGGGCGTGGCTGCTTCAAGTGATAGTTGAGGGCTGTCTCAAGTTGCTCACTTCAATTCTACCCTCAATGCCCATTTCTGGAGTTAGACTACAGTGTCACTGCAAAGAGGGGGTCTGCGTCGGTCTCGCTCGTCTCAAACAAGCCTACGGTCCAGCGCCATATAGATAGAATTCTATTATATGGCTCTGCTACGGTCTAGACCAGTGGTTCTCAACTGGTGGGTCGCGACCCAAAAGTGGGTCGCGGACCCGTTTCGAGTGGGTCGCGGATGTGTGAGTGAAGAAAAAAAAGTTGAAAAAAAAAAAATTGAATTTTTTTTTTTTTTTTTTTTTGGGGGGAAAAACTCAAACTTTTATTTTGAAGGCCCGATTTTCTTCTCAGAGTGTACCAGAATGCGTAGTTTGTTAGTATTTCTAAAAATCTCCTGGGGGAGAATCCCCCAGACCCCCCTGCTGGGTTGGGTTTCAGCATGTGTGCCTATTTATATAGTTCAGCTTTGATTCCATCATCTCATTAAACCTTTTTTAAAAGCATACTATAGTTCTGTGAAGGGATATAAGGGATATATGCACTGTACTTCACTTTTATTAATATTGTATGCTCAAAAGCGTATATATTACAGCACGATTTTTTGTTGAATAGATTTGAGTGCTTCAAAATGTTGGGTCGCGATGTATTGACCAAGTAAAAAGTGGGTCCCGAGGCCTGACCAGTTGAGAACCACTGGTCTAGACTACGGAGCGCTTGGTATTTACGTCACGTGATCATAGACTGTAAAGCACGTGATACGTGCTGTTCGGTTGCGCTGCTCCAGCAGCCTGCTAACAAATTAGAGTACAAGCTAACTCAGCTGAAAAGGATCCAGAAACTTTACTTTTACTTTTTTACTTGAACCATTTTTTGGAGATCACCGATGGCGATGAAATAAAGAGGACCATGGCCAGGTAATTAAGATTAAGCTGTTCCTTTAGCCCCCAGTAATGTTACATTA